ATCTGACTATTCTGTATTAGTCATCACATGTCTATGTCCGTAAATACTGTTATCTGCATTAAGGGAGCAGTAGCTAAAATTAATATCTAATTCAGTAAATGATTCCAATGTTAATTGTATTAACTATGACTCATGAACTATTGAGGAATAATATATAAATGCAGCATATCGTGTAATAAAGTGGATTCTGAAACTTAGTGTTTAACGTAAAATACGAGGTGTTTAAGTCTTCGTGTAGTCTGCTAGTAGGGCAAAAGTGTTTCTGATAGTGTAGATATCGTTCCTTGATACGTGGTTCAAGGAATTAACTTATTGATCGTACGTTACGTTATCATGTTACAAAGCTGTTTTGTGACAGCTCGGTATCTAAATTTGGAACTACATCCTTTTAATTCAAAACTATTTAACTAGACATAATGCCACATTTTTGAATGAAATATGAATCTTTCCGTGCAGTTAGAGCAGGTTGTCAGCTCTTCTAGAAGTTTATCTAGATCGCTAGGCCCTAATCATTTACTAACGTATATGATAATTGTTTAGAAAATATATGTAATAATGGTTAATTTTTAGAATCTTCCTATATAACTTTGTATCACAGTAGGTATTTTCGCTTTTAAAAGCAACTAATTTGATCTGATTTCAGTAAATTTAACCTAATATCTCAATATATTCTGAACTCCTTTATTTTGTTAGGGCTATCATTTGATAATATCAAGTAGCATTATTTTGTTAATTATTATAAATTGTGAGATTAAAATTTAACCGATATATTTAGTTAGTATAATATTTGTGCTTAAACTGTGATAAAATTTATAGCTGATTATATTTATAAAATATAGTAAAAATTTCACCTTTTATTTCTTTGCTATACGCATACAATTCTGTGCTACCGCAAACGTTTAGATTCTAAGTTGTAGTTCGGTTGAGCTTAGTGTTTTATGTAGTTATGTACCGTATACTGTAGAAAGACGTAATTTACATTTAAATTTTGATTATTATTAATTTGATAATTTGGAAATCTAGAAAAAATATATATATTAGAATATGTGATTATCTGCAAGTCCAATTTAGAAAGTAAATAATACT